GGGGGGGGGGGGGGGGTGCTCTCTTCGTTATTGGGTCGTTGGTGGCAGAGCGTGCTTTTAAATCCAGTACGCCGCTTCTGCTTTTAACCCGACACCAAGAGTCCATTTGCTTCTGTCATTTCCTATTTAACTTTGGTGTCTTGGCCGTGTCCTCTTCGCCTGTGCAACTTCTGCAGTACTGTGGGCCTAAGGTTGTTAGCACACAACACGCAACACGCACCTCGTTGTCGAAGGTTAGCAGCTTGGAGCTCCCCTGGTTGAGGAACTCCACGAGCGGATAGCTGAGGATGTAGAACGCCCCCTGGCAGAGGCGACGGAAGCAGGGAGCGACAGGCGCGGTAGCAAGTATGAGGGATTCATACTGTTGCGGCGGGGCTACGGAGGTGTGTACTTCCGAGACGAGACATTTGGGCAAACAACCGAGCAGCCCAAACCGAAAACGAGGGAACAAGTTTGAAGCCGGTTGAAAGGGAGCTACAAGCAGAAAGTTGATAGTCGCACGCAGTCGCGGCCGAAGCATGCTGGGGCGGATATTTGCGGCTTTGTCTCTTGACCGGTCGATTCGCTGATCGGTGCTTACTAACCTACGCCAAGCTGGGACCATTTGCGTGCCGGGAAAGATAGGTCCAATCTCTTCATTCGAAGAGTGCGTGTCGGTCATGACAAGGCGGACGGACACCAAGATGCTTCAAACCAAGCGTGGAGAGCGCGCACGCTATCCAAGTGACGTGGATCAGTTGCAACAGCAACAGCACACGACCCCGCCAAGGACCCGCTTCTTGACTGACTTAGTTTATCCCCGAACAAGAATGCTACGTACGCATACTTTCCATGACAGATGATCAGACCACCCACGCAGATAACCCTCAACAGGAATGCTACACAAGCATACGTATGTAGTTGACAGATGCTACGGACCACCAACACAGCTCCCACCTGCATGTAGACGGGGTAGCAGTCGAGGCCGTTCATGGTGTGGTTGAGGTACTTCCCATCGTACCACTTGTCGTCCATGTCGACGATGACCTTGCCCACCGCGTCATTGGGGTTGTTCGGCAGGTGGCAGGCAGTCGGAATACCTCCGTAGACCTTGGATTGTGCGGCAAGATTTCGACATCGTGACTGTTAGCGTGAACAAGAGCTGTGGAATCGATGTTTGGCGCGAATAAAAAAACGGGAGAGAGAGAGAGAGAGAGAGTGAGAGAGAGAGAGAGGCGATAGGATCGGCATGCCTCGGTGGACATTTTGTGAAAGTTTAATACTCCGGTGATAGCAATGACAGCTAACGACCCGACACCAACGACGACCAACTCATGGGGTCCAACGACGAAAAGTTACGGGGTTCGAGAAACAAGAGAGCAGCCCGAAAAGACAGCAGTTTCACAAACCAGGCAACGAAACGGTGTAAGCGTCAGACCGAAACCGAACACGCGGTTGCAGGTCAACAACGGGAAGGGACCGCCCCGGGCGGGCATCAGAGCCCTCGCCCGTCTCGCGAACCGCGCCGCAAAGCTATTGCCGCTGCCGCTGTGTTGAGTGATGGCTCGGCATAAACGATACCTGATGAAGACCATGAGTAAGTACCACGATACAGTAATACCCTCGATTAATGGCGGGGATTTCTTCGACGGCCGCTACATATGACGGGGGAACCGCAGCGTCGATTAAAACGCTTGCGCTACACATCGAGACAACATTTCCTTGCCCCCTGCTCTCCGGGGTGGTTAGCTCGCCGGATGAATCATAGTCGACCGGCAAATAGTACATCACCTTTGGCTTGATGTGTGCTGGTACGAGGTGCATCTGAGAAGCCGTCCGCCGCAGGCACACGAACGTGTCGTCGTCTGTCTTCAGGAGGTACCTAGGACATAGCAAACAGCGTGGCCCCAGCCGTAACAGCAACAGCGATCGATCAGTGTTGCGTCACTTTCGGAACGAATTGTTTAGTGCGTTGGCGGAGCGCGGGGCGCGAAAGCAACAGGATCACGGAAACGGAGGTCGGGGAGATGGAGAACGGCGTAGCCAGAGAGACCGAATTGCTTGGTGGAGGACTAAACTATCGTTGTCTGCGTGTGCTTGCTCTAGACCAATCGTCCGCCGTCTGCGCTTTCCCGCGACGCTTTGTCCGTCCGCGTCTAAATGTACCACAAAGATGTCGCTCGATGTAGCTGTGCGCATATGCTTTTGATCCACATCTGCATGTCTGCACTACTGTCCATGAGTCTATCTCACTTGAATCGGACGTGCTTCACTGCCTCCAGCATCTTCTTTGTCTTGGCAGCGATGTTTCGGTAACCCTTTTCCACCTGCTTGCGGTCCGTGTCGCACAGCAGCAGGGGCAGCAGCGCAAAGTCGATCAAAACTTGTCCTGTCTGCGATGGCAGAACTGGCCGGTGCTTTTACGGACGTGACCCGCCACCATCGCTCTTCACTCAAAAAATATATACTTCAAGTATATATGCTACGCCGCATAAACATTCACACGTTGTGCTCCATTCGCTCTGGTGATACGTGGAAGCACCTTCCATTTTTCTCCCTCGTCGTGCATCTAGACTTTCCACTGTTGTACTCCGCACCTTGCACAGCAGGAGCGTGTGTTATAACTAAAAAACAACGCATGCTGCTTGTACCACGGGCATTCTCGATGGCAGACGCGGGGCAGGTAGTCGGACCAAGCCTTACCTTGACGAACAAAACATCGTCCATGAGATCTCCCATGTCCACCGCCCCCGGGTGTCCCACCACATACAGCACCTGTTCGGTACGGTTTTAGGCAGGCGGGACGGGTTACTAACCACATCTGACCTCGTTCTCCCCCCCCGTGGGAACAGGTCCCAACACTTGTGGAAGGATACAGAATTGCGTGAACCGCCAGGCGGGGGAGAAGAGAGGCGGCGGAAGGGTGGACGTGAAGAAGGGGCGGAGCGTGCGCCCTTTTCCTTCGTGTCTGTTATCCTTGAACGACCACGGGCCAACTACCTCTATCGGAGGCGGAGTCGTCCAAGCAGGGAAGTACCTCGAAACAGACCTGTAGGGCAGTGACGGCGTGCCCACAACATTACTTGTACCTTCCGCGCCCCTCCGCATCTCCCGCGGTATGCACATGACGAAACCACCTTTAAGGTTGCGACCACTACTCCTCCTATTGGTACGTTGAATGGCTACCACAGCGGCTTACGCAAAGTCCGGTGATGGTTGGTAACAAAACGCGGGCGAGGGACAGATAAGAATGGAAAACGTCAAACCGCCCCATACCCCCACCAAAAAATGGCAAGTCTCCTACAACAGCAGGTCTCTTATTACCTTGAACGTGTAGATAAACGCCTGCCCCCGCTCGTCTGTTATCAAAATCTGTCCTCCGTACGTGCCGTACATCTGTGGTGTGGGTGGTGACCAGGGACGACAAGCGTGTGGTTCGTTGGATGGAGTAGCAGCAGCGTCCGTGAGGGAAGGGGGAAATAGGGGGGGCTGGGGGCAGGTTGGAGCAAGCGAACCCATCGGAACAACACGTCGTTCCATCACGGAAGCAGAAAGGCAAACTTGCACCCTACCAACATTTGGAATGACCTGACGGTCGACGATTATAGCTCTTGTGATATTTAGCAGCCGCGGCTGTCCAAATTAGCAATGGCATGAGGTCAAATGCTGTGAAAACATCAACAACAACGACAGCAACCCTTTCACCTTCACCGGAATGTCGCCAGCGTCTCGAGATTGAATCACGCAGAAGGCGTAAGAACCTCTTACCTTGTCCCATGCCCGAGGCTCGTTTCATGTCTTATCTATTTGTGGGGCAAACTACCCAGCGACTGCTGTATAGGATTTAGGGTGGGCATCTTGACTGAATTTAACACCTGTTCTCATTGTCAAGTAATTAGAGTTGTGTTTTTTGTTAGGCTGAATTTCTTAGCTCCAAGGTTGTTAAAACGTGGTGGCACCTGCTGTAGCGAATTTCAAGCAAAGGCGTTTAATCATGTCTCAAGCCCTAAAGGTGAAAACAAAGCCCGCAAGGTCGATGTGGAAGGTCCGGTCAAAAGTCAATAGTGCTGACAACGACCTCAGTTTGACGCTTTGTCAACTGTCCTATGCTACTTCACTCCCTGTGTGCTTTGGGTGCTCTTTTGTCACTTGGAAGGGAGGAACGATACCTCTCTTACGTGCGATCTATGAGAGCTTACACCGATAAGTCCTTTCAAACCGGGGACTCACACAGATCGTTTGGTTCGCACTGCAGGGTATGCTGTTGCTGTTGCTGTTGCTGCAAGGTTCCTGGTTGCTATAGTACTCGGACCGCGAATCGATTGTCTCAGAGGAGCGTTCGCTCTGCGATCCGTGAGCAAACATCTTTCCCACCGTTTTTCCGTTGTTCGTCGTCGTCAGTTTTCAGCAGGAATCGCCACCACCGCTACCGCTGCCACGAACAAAAATGTGCCATGCCCCATCACCTACGACCACTCCCCGTCAAAACGTCAACAAATGTACCATACCCCGTCACTTATGACCCTCCCTATCACAACGTCACCTCTCGCATGTAATCCCGTTTTGCCAAGGCGTCGGTATCGTCCCCAGAGAACACCACCAAGAGGTAATCGAAGTACGGCCGCGTGTCCCCCGGCCATGCCACCGGCCAGTCGTCAGAGCGGCCCAAGATCGGACCGTTGTTGTTGTTGTTGTTGTTGTCCCCCCCGACCCTGACCCCTAGCCCCCCCCCACCCACTGCGAGATCAAGACCCCCTGTTTCTCCGCCGCTGCCAAAGCCTGCTTTGCCCGACACACACGCACGAACAGCGAAATGGTCACGTCACATCAGCAACGGGGCTAACTTCTTTTCAGTCCATCATCCCGTGAGTAGTTCGTAAGGGCGTTAACTAACGTTCCTTTGCTGGACAGGGAACAGGGAACAGGGAACAGGGAACTCGGAATTCCCTGTCCCTTGTTCCGTGTGGTTGTGTCGTAACATATACCGCATTTCCAGGGAACACGGGACAGTTCAGCGCGCGCGCGGCCCGCAGGCACTCACAGACGACAAATACAACCATTTGATGCAGAAATACGAGTGGAGGGTAGAGCACGGAGGAGTGATGTAGGTTTTGAAGCAAGCTGTTGACGAGCGCACATCAAACACATGTGTTAGGTATCGGCTAGCTAGGACAGGCGGTGCTCGTCATGCAAGCCGCACCCTCGAGAGTGCTCTGGAAGACTGACTTGCTTTTGAGTTGGGGTAATCGGCAGCTCGCCATTTTCTTCGACACTTTCTGCTCCCCCATACAACGGCTACACGATGAGCATCCGCCGCCTGATGGTGACAATGCCTATTATACGGCTTGAGCTGGTAGCATGCAGCACCTGTGGCACGAGAGTGATCACACACATCCCACCACGTCCTGAATTGCCACTGAAGAGCCCGTGTTCCACGTTCCCTATGGTCTGTTGGTTAATTTTAATACCCGTTCAATACTTCATACCCGCGGGTAATAAAACTAATTGTGCGGCGTAACTACCTCAAACAGGGCACGTGTGTGTCAATTCTTGTTTCCAGGAAAGTTATATTGTGTGGCTGGCCAATCAGACAATAACTCCGAGTCCCCTGTTCCCTGTTCCCTCAGAAAGGGGACGCTAGCACACGCGCTAGGTGAGTGCTCAAATACATCTGCGCTAAGTGCATATTATAGTAGTAGCCGGGCACAGCAGTTCTTGACCAAGTACCTTGCCAACGATCGACGAGGCCCAAGACTTTCCGCCAGAGCGCTGAAGGATCTGGCTGCAGAGGCTACAAAACTCAGGACGTGCGGGGCGAGTGGGCAGTGGTTTCTTTTGCCCCCCTGGCCTCCCTACAGAACTGTACGTATACAATTCTGCCAGTCGGTTGTGCACATTCATGAACATAAGTTTCGGCGAGTACGATTGAACGATTATCACCACGCTCCAACAGAAGAACTCCTCCTCTGCAGCAGCACGTTGCTTACAAGCAGTGCACAACCTAGCACAGCAGATACCGCACGTCGCGGCATCAAGGATGGGGCATTTGCCCAAAGAGTATTTTGACGTTGTGAATCCCAAGCCCGCAAAACGGTTTTCGTTCTACCGCACCCAATCCCAGGGCAGTCTTCGATATCTTCGTCTACCGCACCCAATCAGAGCAGGATTCGTTGGTGCTATGTAGCACGAGATATAACCCGCTAGGTTGACTTCTGGAGAGCCGTCGGCACTGGAAAGGAGAGTTAGGGTGGTTCCTGTGTGCACCAGGCCGACTCTCCTTCCCGTTTCCCGTCTCAAGGCTATCCCATCCAATGAGCAAAACAACACAACACCACAACCTTCACGCAGGATGTGACCCCGCCTGGAGGGAACCACCGTAGGTTGGCAGAAGATACCATACCCCCAGGACCGATGTTCAAAGCTCGATTACTCCATGGTGAAGATGATTCATGTATCAAAGCGATACATTTTCGGGAGGCTGTCGAACGAGGCGGCTAAAATGCCGCCATTTATCGACACTGCTGTACTCTGTTGCTGTGGAGAAATCGAGCTTCCAAAGCGGTCGAGGGGGTGTGATATCTTACGCCACCAACGGTATACCAAAAAGGCGTAGACTGGCGCCCAAGAACGGATGGAACGAAAACATGCGTACACAACCGAAGTCTTGCCATTGGTCGGTTGGTTTGAGCGCTCGATGCTGAACACGTTAAAGAAACACGTACGTGAGCTGCTCAGACTTACAGGTATCTCATGCCTGTTATACCGCGGCGACCGTTGCAGTTGTTCCCTGATACCAGTCTCTCTCTGTCTTTCCGAGCAGCGGTGTTCGAAAACCACTCACCTCCCAGCGATCCTTGACTTCTTACGAGACGTCTGTCTGTGCTCCTTCCCGAATAAACGTCCCGATACCACCACCCCCCACCTTCACGACGCCCAGCGGTGCTGTTGAGCCACAACTGCGGCGGGCCTAGCGCTCGGTAGTATACTACCGACATGACCGCTCCGAGAAGGCAACCCGCAGACACGACAAATCCTGCCTGCGACCAAACCGATGATGGTCTTCTTGGCTCCCGTCTTCTAACTCCCCTCGGGGAGGAACCCTCACCCATCGTAGACTACGCAAGCGGGTACAGTCCAGTCGCGTTGGTTGCTGATGTTGTGTATAACGAAACAGCCAACAGCCAACAGCAAAGTCCCGCATGGAACCCTAAGCGGGGGGCTCCGTGTTCACCGGAAGTTGGAACTAGAGGATATACCGCAGGGTCCAGGGTCCGCAGCGGGTGGCGGGGAGCGAGGAGACCAGACCGCAGAGACACCCCACGAGGCCAGAGTGTGGAGCAACGAGCAGGCAGACAGGAAGAGGCGAGCAACATGAGAGGTGGTCTCCCTCTATTAGTGACACGGTGATGGGGAGTATTCTTCGAAGCAAGTGCCGTAGAAGAGGTCCCGATTAGTGGCATTCTACCGGTAACCAAAATATGCCACTTTCATGCACCGCCACTTACTCTTGATTATAGACTAGTGGAAACACCACTATTGAGTAACCAATAGTGGCAATATTGCCGCTAGTGAGAAAATCAAGCTCGATTTGTTGACGCTACCGAAAGTGCTCCGTTGGATCTAAACCGGTACTACTTCTGAAGTCTTTGTTGTCTCCGTGTTTGGTGTGACAAGAGGGTTGCGCGTGTAACATTCCGAAAGGATCCCGCGTCCAGCTGCAGCATACTCTTTTTTTTCCTTAATACTTAATTTTCCTAATGTGGTGAAGCCAAAGATGAGACTTGACCCGCTTCACGATAAGCTCGAACTCCCTCCGCAGCTCCTTTGGCGCGCTCAGCACCATCGCAATCATCATCATGAGTGAACACATCGACCGTCAACTTTATGGGCACCTACATCATCATCAATGCGTTGGCACCGCACCGAGGGCCATGGGCGGGAAGGAGTGCTCTGACCTGCAGTCCCAGGCGGTGGTGACTCTTTGGGCCGCCTGGGTCAGTGATGTGCGCTTTTTCCTTGGTGACCCAGATCATCATGAGAGGACCCGTATCCATTACAACACCGCGTAATGGGTACGGCGCGTAAAATGGATACGGATGTATAGTGTACCGTCGTCTCCTGTGCCAACGGCCATCCATGCCTGCGGAGGTAGATATAGGTGCCTCTCCACGATGGTAATAAAGTGAGTGTTCGTGACGGCGATCGAAATGGGTAGGGCGCCCCTCGCTCCAGAGATGTGTGCCGAGCGCGTCAAGAAGAGAGCCAGCGGAGGGAGTTCGAGCTCATCTTGAAGCGGATCAATTCTTGACTTCGCGTCCGCTACAAACATGCTGCTTGATCCGGAAGTAGCACACACACGCACGACCCCCTAGCGGAAGCCACTACATGTGTACGTCACGGAATTGAACCATGAGTGGTTCCACGCGCTGGTGCTGCAGGTGCAAAAATAAGAGCTCTTCTTCTACGGGGCCCACGAGAAAGGCGCCCCACCGGCGGGCGAAGGCGAACGCCGTGCCCGTGCCGCAGTTCAAGAACTTCAGGAAGCTGACGTCTCCTTCTCTCAAGTCGCGAGCGGAGAGGATTTTTTCTTCATAACCGTAGATAAAACTGTTCGTGGTGTTTCGTATGCAATACGCATTGAAAAATAAAAAAACAGAGAATATAACCCACCCTGGGTTAACTACGGGAAATACGGGAAACTGGACGGGACAGTCGGCCTCGCTTTCGGCGTTTTACGTCTCTAAGCCCGCATACGTAACACCCATGAAAATGCTCTCCGGTGTACAGGTGTGTATCTATGTGCTGCAAGAGCCACCAACCCTACGTACGTCCCCTTTTAACACTGAGTGGACTGCAGATGCTGTCACCGCAAGGTCACACGCGACAGTGATAACAGTCCTATCCCGCACACGCCTCCCCTCACGGCCACTTGGCTACACCCGTCACCCCACAGTCAAGACGCCTCGTTGTAAACAACACCACCCCCATTGGCACAAAAAATCATCCGACGCCGTTCACTGCCTGAAACAAACTTCACTTTATACACATGCACAGCAGAACAAGCTCACACAGCCGCGACGGCGAATACGGCAGTGTTATGTCCTAGGCATTCCATCAAGGCCACCCTTTGGGTTGTGCGTGTGTCAGCATGCCTCCCCGCCCCTCCGAACTATACCACCATCGCTTCACGCGGAATAGTTTCGTTTCGTGACACTTAAGCACACGAACCTTGCGTGTAAAATTACCACACCCCACTCTCATTTGGCAACGTGCCGTCCATCACTAGTGAAAGGCTGTTCCAAGATTTAAGCACAGAAAACAAAACATCGTACCTCTATCTACAAAACAGAGTAAGAGTCTGCTGGCGATAACCGCAAATGCCGAACACAACAGCAAAAAAATTAACTTGTCATTCGCACGAAAACACGTAAAACAAGACTACCACCCCTAGTCGAGGTACAAACCCACCTAACCCTCGTCGCTGTAATCCAGCTGAGACAGACGCCATTCGTCAACCGACTGGCGCGGTTGACGCCACCAAGACAATACGTTTGCACACACGCACGAACGCGCACACTCTTTGCCCCACAAACACCTCGCTTACACCCCACGACACCCCACCACACACAACGCCCGTGCCCTCTCGCGGGGATGGCACATGTTCTCCCAGGACCCCCCGGAGCGCGCTCCGCATTGAATCAGTCCCCCTTATGCGGGGCACTGTTGTCGTGTACGCCTCCCCTGGAAGACCCGGACGTCGAGCGCACCCCGACCGCCGCCGCCACAAGAGCCAGGGCGATGGTCGTGACCGGCAGCAGGCTCCCGACCCAGCCGACTAAGCTCCCTTCACCGCGTTCCTTGACCGGGGGCGGCAAGCACGCCCCGTTACCGCTAGGACCGGTTCTGCCGCCGATACCCAGCGCCTTGCCGGCCCCCACTGACTCGCCGCTGCTAACTGTCTCGGCGTCCAAGATGTCTTGCCCCCCGTCATCGGCGGCAACGGCGGGTCTGTCCTGAGCGGTGCCGGCTGACGAGTCCCACTCTTCATCCCACGAGGAGAAACGCTTGTTTCCCTCATCGCCGCCACCCCCGTCGTCCCTTTCACGGGGAGGAGAAACGCGAGAAGGAGACCGGGGGGAGCCGGGGGTCGGAGTTCTCGGGGAGCGTTCCAGGTATTCCTCCTCTTCCGCGAGCTCGTACGCCGGCCGGTAGCTACCGTCGGGCAGGCGCAGCGCCTCGTTCTTGGAGGTGTCGCCCCTCTCCCCCAGCGAGGTGTATCTGTCATGCCGCGGTGTTGTTCGGTGTTAATGTTTCATGCGGCGTGATACGTTACAAGTTCTAGTAAATGCGTGCTGGTGGTGGTGGTTGCATATCGTTTGGTCTTTGCACATGCATTTTACGTATTCTCTACACAGCTCTCCACACGCACGATTTAGTGTATGCAAACCCTGTCCCCAAGGCGCCAATCAAGGCTGCCCAAGAGATTGCGAGGCTGGAGCTCATAACGGCGGTTTGCGTTGGAGTCCGTCGTCCATGCACCGCGATTTGCCCTGACAGCAACACGGCGTAACAACGCCTGCTGAACAATAGGGCCTCCCAAATCTAGAACACCAGAAGCACCTACAAAAGTGCCAGTTTGAACAGATAAATGCCGGATTGAACTTCACCCAAAAGAGTCCAGGTTGTTAAACACCGCAAAAACGTACCCTTGGTCGTAGAGGACGCAGTATGGCAGGCCGGAACCCCGCAGGAGACGCCACACGTGGCAGAACTTCCACTCGAGGGCGGGGTTCACTCTAGTAAATTCGGCCCAACCCGGGGTGCTCGCGGTAAACCATTCCATATCCTCGGTCCATGGGTCTCCACGGCGTTGCCCCATGATAACGGCCTATTGTTTTTTTATTCGAAATCATGTAAGGGGCATGGGGCGGTATGACGTAAATGTCCACAGCAGGCGTGTTTGTTGGGTGTGGTCACATTCTGTAGTTAATGTGGTTGTCGCGGTATCTTTCACATTGCCTCCTTTCTCGTGCATTGTTCGACCATGCAACGCACGCAGTAGTGCTGGGATACACCTCAAACATCACCGACATATCGTGATTCGTGCGGAGGTTGGTGATCACGTTACATTGTGCGTGTATCGATTCAAATAAAACACAACTAAGCTTGGTACGGCGCACAGGCATCGTGTGTGGCAAGCAACAGGAGGCTGTTGACAATTCCTGTGCGAGTATATAAACGTCACTCCAGGCGAGGCAGCCGTCCACCCAAGAGAAGGATTATATGCACAAAACAAAGTCATCACGGTCACCGGAACAGGGATCTACCGACTTCCTAGAAAAATGCGGATTCAATTCTGCCTGATACAAAATCATCTTGATCATATCAAGCGTTTGTGGGTGATGAAAACGGGTTGGGTCAACTGGCGACTACTTCGTCAAGAGTTGGTTTTTGCTCATTCATCGCACCTTGATGCCGTGGGATTCGACGAGGTCTTGCATGCCGTCCTTGTAGGACTTGGAGTACCTCTGAAACTCGAACTGGTACGTCTCTGACACTTGTTGCATGAAGGCGTCAATTTCGGGGAATTCTTCCTTCTCGAAATACACCACCGGAATATGCTGCAGAAAGAAAACAAACATGCGAGACGAGAAAAAGAGTCTTGGACGCGAACAGAGGGCCGCCTCGTCCGTTTGGTTGGGGAACGGGCACGTACTGAAAAAAGAAACGGCAACAACACGTGCATACGCGCTGTCCAGCACTGGAAATACTCCTCGGTAGAAACTTGGGTGTATACGAATACGTTCGTCTCTTGCTGTGGTCGCCTGTACATCCAAAACTCTTCTGCCTCAGCAACCAAACACATCCCTTTCTATTCATCGGTGGAGAACAGAAGTTTCGTGGCCAAAAAGCAAACAAAAAACAAGGCTAAAGGGAACCGACTCTACAGCAATGAGTTCCACCGTTCGCGAAGAAACACGGTACATCCCGGGGTAAAGTATGCCAACAAAAAGCAGGGCGTGTTTTGCTTCTTCGTCCCTTCTATTTTGGACGCCAAGTCTTCATCGGTTCATGTTTGACGAACCACGTTGGGGCAATTCAACCGACGGGAATTACAGTTCGAAGCAGCACGGTGTGCGGTGACCAATCGGTTCCTCCTCAACCTCGACACACGACTGGACGAGCGAACAACCACCGCCGCGGAATTGGCGACCGACTTTTCCAATGCTCTCCGCGACGCAGCGCGGACGACCCTAGGGGCGGAACCGCGGAGACGCCGCACGCAGGAGTGATGTGAGACCCCAGAGACGAGAGCAGCGCTGGAGCAGGCCCTTACCAAACGGCGGGAAGCGCGCCGGGCGATGAGGGGCAACTGGAACTCAGCAACGTGGAGGGTTCTCAAAGCAGCGTGTAAGGGAGTGGCTACAGCAGTCGAAACGGGCATTTATGCCCACCTGGACGGATATGTGACTGAACTCGAAGCAATTTACAAAGATCGCGACATGCGAGGACTGTACCAACACCTCAAGAGATCAGTGGGCCTCAGCGGGAGACAAGCGGGGGGACAGCAGTTCGTCGCGGATGAGAACGGCGTGTTGCTCCGGAACAGGGACGACATCCTCCAGCGGTGGGCGAGATTCTTCACCACCCTCCTCAACACCAAATCCCCCGCCCTGAACCCAGACATCATCGAACGAGTGACGCAGCGGCCAGCGACACGTGACACTCAACGGTTGGGAGAGGTGCCAGAACTCGAGGAGGTGGCACGGGCAACGAAAGGCCTCAAGAACTGGAAGGCACCCGGCCATGACTCCCTCCCTGCCGAGTTGCTCAAGATCGATGACGACGAACCCTTCGTCCTGGGACACCTCCATACCATCCTCGTCAAGGTGTGGAACGGAGGAGATATTCCGCGAGAGTGGAAGGATGCAACCATCAAGGTGCTGTACAAGAACGGTGACCGGTCCAACTGTAACAACTACAGGGGGATTTCGCTACTATCTCACGTAGGCAAGGTCCCCATCAAGATCATCACCAACCGTCTAAGCGCCTTCTGCGAAGCCAACAACATCCTCCCGGAGGAACAGTGCGGATTTCGACCCGGGCGATCCACCGTCGACATGCTGTTCGTCGTGCGCCGCCTCCAGGAGCTGGGGCGGAGAAAGAAAATACCGCTCTACATGTGCTTCGTCGACTTGAACAAGGCGTATGATTCGGTGGACCGAGAGATGCTATGGAAGGTGCTCGCCAGGGCCGGGATTCCCGCGAAGCTGATCGAAGTCATCCGCCAATTCCACGATGGAATGCGGGCCCGGGTGCGCATGGACGACGGAGAACTATCGGACTGGTTCTTCGTGACACAGGGCGTGCGACAAGGATGTGTGCTATCCCCACTGCTGTTCAACATCTTCTTCGCCGAGGTCCTCGAGGTCGTTGTCATCCGATTCAGCGAGGATGATGTTGTTCTTCGGAGCCTGGTGTGCTTGGAGGAGGGGAAGACGGAAGCGGGGGGGGGGGAGGAGACACCCCTTGACCGAGTACGGAGGGCAGTATGGGGGATGCTGTATGCCGATGATGCCGGCGTCGTATCGAGGTCTGCAGAAGGACTGGCGAGAATGATGACCATCATCGTTGAGGTGTTCGGGGAGTTCGGGCTAACGGTGTCGGAGAAGAAGACGGAGACGCTCCTGATGCGCGCAAAGGACAAGCCGACTACAACATCACAGCCCGCCCCGCCTCCACCACTGACCATCGAAGCCGCGGGACAGAAATACGCCCAGACGACCGAGTTCCGGTACCTCGGTGGCCTCGTCAACGAACATGGCGACCTCACCCGGGAGATCAACTACAGGAGCAGAGGAGCGTGTGCGTGCCTCAGGCGATATGGCGGGGAGCTCTTCGACAGACCGCAAGCGCCATTCCGACT